TGCGGGGGACGGGGCTGGAGGAGGGGGCTGCAGGCGGGCCGTGATGCAGCACCGGGCAGGGCCCTGCCAGGAGGGCAGAGGAGCTCGTGTGCAGTCCTGGGGGCAGGGGGCACCGGTCCCCTGGGCTCAGAGGCCCCCGCGGCCGGAGCAAGGCTCTGCCCCAGCACAGGGCGGAGGAGGGCGTCCCACAGCGGGGGCCGCTGGCCTGCCCCTTGCACAGCTCCTGTGCGCCTTCGCATGCACAAGCTCGTTGGGGCGGTGAGCGGTGTCCTGGGCACAGCACGGTGACCCCTGTACGAGGACAGCCGCCCTGGGGTGCTGGTCTGGGTTTTGCCCAGTGGTCACCTGTCAGGTGGCCCTTTGCCTTTAGGGCCCGGAGGCAGCTGGACCTTGGTCTGAACCAGGCCCCGGGGAGGGTATGTGGGCAGGCGGCCTTCCCTTGGTCCCCATGTATCCGCGCTCTGCAGGACGTGGCTGTCCAGCTCCCCAAGGACAGCCTGAAGCTGCTGCTGCCCCCCAGCCCCAGGTCTCCCCGAGAGCCAGGGGGCTGGGGCACAGTGCTGTGAAGCGCAGGGTGGGGGTCCAGACTCCCTTGTGGCCTTCCTGGGCTCCCTTTGTAGTGGGGCCAGTGCGTGTCCGCAGGGAAGGGGCCCAGAAGTGAAGACTTGAGCAAGAGAGGTCCTGTGGTGCACAGTGCAGGGCCTCTCTGCATGGGTGCTGAGGGCCTGTGTTCAGGTCCAGGTCTGTCCCCTTTTTGTGGGGAGGTGCCTCCCTCTTGCAATGGCAGGGCCTGGGCGTTGCGTGTCAAAGGGACCAGGCCCGGAACATCTTTCAGCCTTCCCCAGTAGTCTGGAGGTAAGGGTGCTACCCTAGGTGGCAAAGGTGGTGGGTTCAAGCCCCACTGTGCCTGGAGCCTTTGGGCCTGTCAGTCATCAGTGAGTCTCTGGTGTGTGTGGCCAGATGCACAGGAGGAGGTTACGGTGGGCCTGTGTGGTGGTAAGTGGGGAGAAGCTGGGAGAGGGTGGAGGGGGCAGAGGGAGTGGGGGTGGGGAAGGAGCAGAGGGGGGGGAGGCAGAGGAAAAGAGGAGGTGTTTTTTGCACTTTGAAAAGGTTTAGGACCTTGAAAAAGCAAACTTTCTATCCCTGCCCCTCTCTTCCTCTTTCTCCACTTCCCCCCCCCAACCTCCCTCCCTCCCTCCCACAGACCCCATCCCAGCTTCTCCCCACTTAGCACCACACAGGCCCCCTGCAACCTCCTTCTGTGCATCTGGCTGCACACACCAGGGACTCACCAATGACGGACAGGCCCGAGGGCTCCAGTCACAGTGGGGCTTGAACCCACCACCTTTGCCACCTAGGGTAGCACCCTTACCTCCAGACTACTGGAGAAGGCTGAAAGATGTTCCGGGCCTGGTCCCTTTGACACGCAACGTCCAGGCCCTCCATTGCAACAGGAAGGTGCCTCTGCACAAAACAGGGAGAGTCCTGGACCAAAACTCATGCCCTCAGCACCCACACAGAGAGGCCCTGCACTGTGCACCCCTGCACTGGCTGCTGTAGTGCGCTACAAAGCACCCGTGGGCTGCCCTCTCCTCTCGTCTCCTCTCCCCCCTGCCTGGGCAGGGCCCCTCTTTTCCACCGCTCCATAGAACAAGGCGGCTCCTGCTGCTAAAACCTGCAGCAACAACCAGCGCACCGCCCAGCGCCTGAGCCCGGCTGGGGGCTACAAGAGGGGCTCCCAGGGCAGGCGGCCGCCCCGCGCTCACCCGCTGCACTGTGTCCCCAGGGTGGACAGTGATGTACCGGGGCACGGCTACCCTCTGCACATTCACCGCACCCAAAACAGCTGCCGGGTGGAAGGGCGCCGCGCTACAGCCCAGCCCAGGGTTTGCCCTCCCCGGGCTCCGCACCCTCCTGCCTTGGGGCCTGTCCTGCCCGGCCCCCGGCTCATCTCCCCCGGAGGCAGTAACACAGCTGGTGCTCGGAGCCACGCCTTTGGCGAACAAGCCTCTCGCTCCCGTAATGCCCCTGCCC